AAAATATCAATATTAAGAGCACAAGTTTAAAGGGAGAATCATCCCAAAATACTATATATAGTCTATTGGGTTGGAAGAGCCCTTTACATTTATAAATTTCACTTCACTTGTGAGGCCCTTCAAGGGATTCATGACAATGCAACTCATTTGAGGGCCAACATTTTTGGCATCTCCGCTTCACGACATATAACTTGATCTCCTGCCAGTCAAAACCTTTTATGGGTAGCCATTTCATTGACATGACTTTTTAATTAAAGCACCAATATTATAAGCACAAGTTTAAAGGGGGAACTCATTCAAAAAAACTAACTTATTGAGTCAGAGAATCCTTTAAATTTATAAATCTCACTTCACTTGTGATACATTTCCCCATCGAAAGGAGAAACATACTCACACATGCATACAAACATGTCAACACTGGGTTTAAATTCAAGATTTCTCCCAAGCTAGAGAGGTAACATTGCTTTAGGACACGATTAGCTGTTAATCTTATGTTCTACAAATTAGTTGAGGCCACCTTATTTTTGGGACAAGAGGAAGTATTGTTTATTAAATTAGAGATAGTGGGGTACCTTGCTTGAAGTTGGTGTTAATTGTGATGAGTTATCGCTCATTTGTTACTTGTGACAGAAGGGTCCTACCCAACATAAATATGGTAAGAAGGGGCATATGGCCGCATATCAGATTCTTGGGACTACTTGTTAAATTCTTGCAACAAACTGCCATGTGGATGTGAGGTGACTCTGCACGTAATGCCATACACACATCATTCTTCCTCCTTTCTCCAATATTTTCCCCCCATAATTAGAGGGGCCAGCATTAACAGTCTAAGATTACATGCATGTTGAACTCACGACCTCTCGTTTAGAGGGGAAATGACATGCTATTAAGCTACAATATTATTGGATTCTCCAAGATTCTAATTATATGATACCCAATATTAATTATACACATTATTCAAGCATTGCTAGTGTAAAGTTTAAACAGCTTTCTTGACATGAATTTTTCTGTCTATAATGGTTGAACTCAGTTTATTCAAGAGCAATCCACTCTGGTTGAACCCATCATATTACCATTCCTTTTTTTTTTTATCTCCTTTTTTTTAAAACTAATATTTGGTATGATTAGACTGAATTTGAGTAATGTCATACACATAAAGAAAAGTAGCTTCTCTAACAATAATATTGAGTCAACATAAACAGTTGAACTAATAAATCATTGAAGTATATATATATATATATATATATCTTGATTAGATTAATGAAATTAATGTTTTGTTTATGACAGATTTGATCATAATTTAACTTCAATTTTAACTATTAATTTTTAAATTAATATCTTAGTTTTCCATTGTTGCCAGTGCCTTGATTCTAACCAAATGAAACCAACATTATTAGGAGACCACTATTGTTTTGACACCGGTGGTAAAAGAAAATGGCACCCTTTAAAGTCCCACGTGGTGACCATGTGACAAGTTTCTTGTGGCTTGACTTGCCCATATCCAGTGGGCTATTGCCGTAGATTTAGCGTCATTCTTTGGACATGCCATGCCAGATCAACCTTACATGTGCCCTTGCCTCTAAGTCTAACTATTTATCAATAGATTTTTATGCCTCTCCTGTGGGACCCACCAAACTCAGTTCATTTTATGTTTCTTATAGGTATCGTAAACTACAAATGAATTACATGACTGAAATAAATGGTCAAAATTGTTAGGTTTGGACACTAATACCCGATTTCGTCTCATTTCTTGAGTTGCATGTCCAATTTTTAATAACTTGTTCTCGAAGCTCGCATGTGCCCGCGAGTGATCAGCGTTTTATTATTTAAAATCATAGGCGCAACTTGAGCTTTAAAAACATATCAGAGTCACACGAATTAAGGGACTTAAGAAAACGTTTATAAAAATATTCATAATAACATGTTTTATCAAAATATTCACGTAATTAAGAGGGAAAAAACTTACTATTTTCGTTAAAAAATGTAAGGTATTTTTTGAGGAGTTGAATGTTAAAAAATGTAAGATATTTTTAATTTTTTGAAGTATCATTATTATTTTTTTCAAAAGTGCCCTCATTGATAGTGATTTTATATTTATTATAAGGTATTTAATAGGGATAAATATAAAAAAATATAGTTAATTTGAAAGTAGGTAATTACTTTATTGGTGGGTGAGATTCAGTAAAAAATACTTTACATTTTTGAACGGAAGGAGTATATATTTAGTTTTATATATTTAAAATATTTATTTTTAATTAAATTAAGACATGTAAATCTCTTATATATAAATTATTTATATCATAAGGAACTCTTGTTGTTAGTATTAGTAATACATTAAAATTTACTTATTTTAATTTAATTGGATAAAAATATATTAATTATATAAGGCTAAGTACTTAAATCTTGCTTTAATATTATATTTTTGTGATATGGAAGTAATATATTCTTGTCACATTCAAACTCATCTTTTATTGTTTGTCAAAGGAAAAAATTACACATTTGATCTTCTAACTTTATATAAAATTTTTATTTAATTTTTTAATTTTATAAAATATTTTTTAATTTTTTAATATAATAGTATTGCTAATATCAAATGATAATTTTTTTATTCCAATCATTATTATTTTAAAAAATTAAACTTAATATATCAATATTTGATAATAGTTTATTACCATTATTTAAAACTTCAATGTTAAATTTTTTTAATGAAATTAACAATAATAGATTAAAGGATTAAAAAGATATTTCATAAAATTAAAAAATTAAATTAAAATATTGTATATTAAAAGATCAAATGCGTATTTTTACCCTTTTCAAATGTTTTTTGATTATATTAATTATTTAATTAAAAATAAGTGGGCAATGTATGTTTTTTATTTTAAATTTTGATGTGAATGGATTGCAATTTACTTGGTGATAAAGAATATTTAGTTGATAGAATTAATCAGATAATCACTGAATAATTGATTTATGAGAAGACGGTAGTTGCAATGTATATATAATTAGCTGTATTAATTATACTACGTGTCAATTAGCATCTTAGTTAAGTTGAAGTTGTGGTCAAGGATTTGCTTGTTAACTTTTTAATCTTAATGGGAATGATTTATTGTTTTGACTTGATGACAAAAATTACTTTTTTTTAATTATAAGGCCATGGCAAGCCATGTATAAAAAAGAAATTAAGTCAAATCAAATATTATAAAAGGATGACATGCTAAAAAGGAACGTCAAAAATTAAAATATTGACATCTTAAAAATGACATGTCGAGCAAGTCAATTTACACACTTGTTAGATCCTCTAAATGCATGATGAAAATTACTTCAATTTGTAAACTTAACCAAACACCACTCAAAAATTTGTATGCATGTGATGACTATCCCATATAGATGACGTGCGGTTACTTGAATATCAAACTCTAGCTAAAATATAATTTTTTTCACCTTAATTTTACCATGAATTTTATCTTTAATTAGACAAAAAAAACCCAAAAATTATGTACAGTAGGCCGAGTTGTATCCATTGACCGTATGATGCAACATGTTCTTGCATATTTTTTTTTGAAAAATTATTATCTCCTCACATCATATTAAATGATAATTAATAAATAATAAATAGTTTAAAGGCTTTTCAATTGTAAAAGGTACTCAAGTTAGCCGACTAAAATAAATAAATAAAAAAAATCAATCAAGTTAACAAATAATGTAGTCCTCATTTCTTACCAAAAGTTCTAAAATAAATTGTTTTTCAGCCACACTTTGAACCTAACTATTTTAACTCAAGTTAAGTTAAATTGCATGGGTATAAAGCTTTGCCACAAATATTTTTTTTCCCTCTTTGTAAGATTCAGACCTAATATTTTAAACCAAGCACTCATTTGTTATTATCGTTTTTTGTTAGAACTAGGGGTGAAGCACTTTTGCTTATTTAAAAAAAAATATTTCAATAATATATAAAATTAACTTAGGGAAAATGACAATTGCAAAACCCTATTAAAAGATTAATGACAACTACAAATCTCTAACTATCGAACTCTCACGAAAGGATTAAGGTGGTGACTTCATTGAGTTAAAATGCCCCTCCCATTAATTATTTGTTAATGTTTAAAAAAGTTAATTGTGAATTCATAGATAATCATATTTAAATTTGAAAATAATCACTTGTGAATATTTTAAGTAATCTGTCCTCAATATATATATATATATATATATTCACTTGTAAAATTAAGCATGGTATTTAAGAATTTTTTAAAAATCAATTATGATAGATTGATTGTCTCTTGTAAATCTGCAGTTCAATGAAATCAATTTTAATTACAACAAAAGACCTTTGGTCCTTCCATGAAATTTTAAGAGTTAGAAATGTGCACTAATAAGGCACATTCTAGAAAGTCTATTTAACCCTATTTATAAGTTATGATGTATTTTTTAGATAATATTTAAAATATATTTTTAAAATTATTCTTCATAAAAGATGAAAAGTAATATGATATTACTTTTATTTTTTGTTATATAGAAGCATATTTAAAAATTTGCAAACTTTTATTTTTTTTACTTTTTTATATTAGTATTGATAAGGTTAGTAAAAATAATCTATAAAAAGATCAGGGGAGATTTTTCTCCAATTAGGATGTGGAAATCACTTACTCCAACTTTGTTACTCTAAAAGGGGCTAACCTCCTGGCCAAAGAAGCTCAACACAGGATTAATGAATTCTATATGTTAGGATGTATGGCAAACATATAATTTCTACTTAGTTTTCCCAGGCTTTCATCTGTCTTTGTATGTTAAAAAAAAAAAAAAAAAGAGGGGACCAGAGGAGTAATTGTTATCAATCCTCTGACAGGGTCTGCAAGGGTCATTTTTCCATTAACTAACTTAAGTATATGTTTTAAAAATAAAAAAAGTAACTAAAAAAAATTCAAATAGGGGGCACATTGAATAAGGGAAAAAAATGACATATAAAAAGGAAGATAGATATGCAGGCAATGGCTGCAATTACAGGTCGCAGCAAGCTTCCATAAAAATCCTCAGACACAGACAGAGAAAGAGAGAGAGAAAGCAAGCAAGAACGATGAACAGCGAGAAAACAGAGGACGTGCAGAAGCAGAGCACTCTGCAAATAAAGCAAGACGACAAGTTCTTCCGCAGGCTTCTCTCCAAAGAGTCTTCCCTCTCCAATCCTTCCTTTAGAGTCACCCCTGTCTCTGTTCCTTTCCTCTGGGAATCTCACCCCGGCACTCCCAAACACCCTCTCTCTGACCTCTCTCCTCCCCCTCTCACTCCTCCTCCTTCTCACTTCTGCGACCCTAACCACAAGAAGCCTTCAAGATCAAGATCCCTTCTTCTTCGCTTCTCCTTCCCCAGCTTCAGTTTCAGCAAGACCCTTCTCCCTTCCTCTTCTTCTTCTTCCTCTCTGTCTTCTTCTTCTTCTTCTTCGGACTCCTCCGGGACTGTTGTTCCCTCTAATGGGAGGCGGAGAAGAAGGCGGTTCTTGAGCTGCGACTCTTCTGCTGATTTGTGGGGAAACTCTAACTGTGAAGAAGAAGAAGAAGGTGGCGATGCTCTTGCTGCAGACTCTGCAAATCTCGGTTCTTGCTTTGGGTTTCGTGGTTCTGCTAGCTCCAATGCTGGATTTGGAAGCTGCTATGGAAGAAGGAAAGCTTAGCTTAGTGAGGTGATTTGGTTCCCATTGTTAGATTTGTTTGCTTTTCACTCTTCAAAATGGGTTCGTACATGTAATTATGAAGTGAAAGCATGCGTAAATAAATTTACACAGATGTTGATTTACATCTAGCTTCTATATTTTCTGATTTTTGAAGAACAGAGTTAAGTGAGTTTGATAATGGGAGACCAGATTATCAGTTTCTTTGCAGTGAAGTGGTCTGGGATCTGATGAGACCGTTTGGATGTTTATTTTTCCATGTAAATCTTTCAAGTTGTGGTCTACTTGTGGTAAGAAGGCAATCGATCAGTTCTCTTTTGTAGAATTAAACTGTCAAGTTTGTTTCTGTGCAGTGATTATGGTGTATCCAAAGTATGATCAAGTTACCAGTAAGTTAGTGACTACAAATTGCTTTTTCTCTCATGAATTGTGCACTTTCGGTTCACGATTTTTGCTCTGTTTATTTTTATTTTTATTTTTTTATTTGTCAGAGTGTGTGTTTATTGAAAAGATGAAAGCAGATGGATGATAGTTTGATAAATCCAATGTCATGAAATATATATATATATATATATATATAGACTTGAAAGTCGTTCGTTGTCTGAATGAGATCAAAACCTACCAACACACAATGTTGAATTAACGTGTCATGAGTTACATTGAAACTTTATTTTTTGTCAGTTTCCAAAAGTTTTCAAATATTAAATGCTAACAAAATTTCTTGTCGAAATAAGTATAAATTAAAAAGTTCACTCTATAACTAAAATCAAGCTGCTTTCAAGATGAAGTTCACAAACCAAATCTGCAAGAACATCATTTTGCCTGTAATATAACTTTTTTTTTTTCATTTAAAAACTAATTGACGTCTATTCAGTTTGCTGGCCACAAAAGTAAAAAGTTTAATTGACGTCGAGTTATTTATCTAATATTTTAAATAACATTAGAGAGATTAAGACACATGATGTGAGATTAAGAATCAAGATATCCGAACATGTCGTTGATACTAGTTCAATGATCAATGCTGTCATTGTATTAAGGTTAAGTCAGTCATAATTAAAATAATATAGTTTAATTAAAATGTACCAAAACATTCACATATTTACCCTAACAAGAGTAATATGCAAACAAAAATGTATTAATTTTCAAGTACATGTAACATTTATGTATAAATCACACATAATCCAACAAAAAAGAGTTATTAAAGCACTAATTTGACAAATTATTTTTTTTTTAAATTCAAAATGATGTCGTTTTGGATTCGACAAAGAGAGAGAGAATATATATATATATATATATATATATATATAATCTAACTCGTTAACCTGTCCAAAACGCAATTAGGCCGATAAGGAAACTGATGGTTCATTGGTCCAACCAGCCAACAAACAATCTCCATAGGAGTGAACAATGTGCAAGGCAGACAATTATGATAAAATAAAGGACACGTAACGAGAGTGACTCTGATATGAGACTGAATTTTGGATTTACAAGAATGAAATGCATACTTAATAAGAGGAAACAATAGAGATAGTAATAGAAAAGTGATGAGGAATGTTAAGATTTGTTATATTAAATATGCTTAAGGATAATATACTCTATTAAAATAACTTAAGTCATTTGATTAAATATTTTATAAATTTATATATTTGTGATTTATTTTTTAATATTTAAATGTGAGACTTCATGTTCTAATATTTTCTTTACAACTTTCTCTTTCTTTCTCTCTCTTTAAATTTTTTTCTTCTTCTTGATTAGGCTTGTACCTTTTTTTTAATCTAGACACCTTAGGTCAATTCAATTTCTTCTTCTTCTTCTCCTTCTCTCTTTCCTTTTTTTAATATATATCTCTCTCCCTTTTGGTTTTGTCCTCGATCGAATAGCTCATGATATCATGTTAGATTTTTTATATTAAATATGTTTGAGGATAATATACTCTATTAAAATAGTTTAAGTCATTTAATTAAATACTTTTTAAATCTATATATTTGAGATCTACATTTAATTTTTAGATGTGAATTTTTTTTTCATGTATTAATAAGGAGCCAAGCAAGATTTGTTAGGAAAAGCTAGCTTCATCTAATTCGTCGGCCGAGGAACTGATAAGGTACTATAAATGACATGAGTGTCCTTGTTAACCCATGCGAGTGAGTGAGCACCACCGTATCTCTGTTTCATTACACACACCAACTAGCCATCGTACTCTTTCAACTCTCACTCAACATTATTATTTTAAAAACCGGACCAGACCAGCCGATCGAACCGTCGATTGGTCTGGTTTTCGGTTTGGTTCAAAGAAAAAAATCGTTTTAAGAGTTGAGTCGGTTTGAGCCGTTTCGAATCGGTGGTCGGACCGAAAACCGGATCCGGTTTTCAAAAACCGGACTATTCAATTTTTTTTATTTTTTATCAAATTTAAAAAAAATGACTAATTTTTTTAATCATTTGTATCATATTATATCATATAGCTTGTTAAGTCGTGATAAACTTAAAATATTTAATTTTTTTAAGTTAAATAGTAATTTCATATGTATTTCTCATATTTAAATTATTATATACATATATAATTTTTTTAATTTAATTATTACGTCATCGGTTGGACCATGCAAACCGTGAACCACTGACTTTTTCGGTTCAATATCCGGTCCGGTTTTAAAAACATTGTTCAAAATATTACAGATTACAAGGAATATAATAAATCGACCAAATCTGTAGGCACATCTCCACTTCTCCTTTTCATTTATTGACCTCTATTATTTCTTCATGAAATATGTTTTACAAGCAAACCTTATTCTTGTCGATCCTATATATAAAGCACTTTTAGGTGTTTGTCCTTCACCTTATTGGCTTGTTGGAGCATTGAATTTTTCCCACCATTTATGCTCTCTGTTGGAAACTATGATATAGGGATTCTAAGAGAGGTTAAAAATTAATATAATACTCACTTTTATCTATTATATAGGACATTTCCTAAAAATGTTGTTTGGTACAAAATATACAATATTAGGTAGTTTTTATAAGAGAAAATGATAATAAAATTTCATTGAAATATATAAATGACAATAAAATTTTTTAAAATATTATAATTCCTTTAAAGTTTTTAGTTACAATTTTGACATTAATGATTTTAGGTTGAATGATTAAATTGATCATTGTTTAAAATAAAATAAACAGTTTCACATGAAAAGTTGTAATTACTTATTTAATTTTTGCGATTCGCAGAGTAAAAGTTGTGATTAAACAAAAGTTGTAATTAGTTATTTTTAAAATTAGACTTTAATGATAAAAAAAATTTCATATAAAAAGTTATAATTTCTTATTCAATTTTTACAATTCACAAAATTAAAGTTATAATTTTTTAAACAAAAGTTGTGATTGGTTATTTTTAAAATTTGAACTTCAACGATAAAATAAATTTCATGTGAAAAGTTATAGTTTTTTATTTTATTTTTGTGACTTACAAAATCAAATGTGTAATTATTTAAACAAAAGTTATAATTAAAATTGATTGCTTTCAGAATTTGTTTATGAATTATTAAAAAAATTTCACGTAAAAAGTTATAATTTTTTACTTAATTTTTATGATTCATAAGACAAAAATTATGATAGAAAAATGAAACCAAACCTATTGTTTTTTTATCTTGAATAAAGGACAATTAAATAATTTAAAATAAAGTCATTAAGGTCAGAAACTTTAAAAAAATTATAACATTTCGAAGAACTTAATTGTTATTTATATATTTTGATGAGATTTTATTATCATTATTTTTCCTTATATTTTCTTTTCCAAATATACATTTACTTCATTCATTACTCTGTTTTAAAAACACAGTCCATTAAAATTTTAATTATTATCATTAATATATTTATATAGGACATTTAATGATGATATAATTAAAAAAATGTACTCCATTCATCCCAAATTATATGTAAATTAAGTAGCCTTTTAACTACTTTTTCTTTTTACATGTAAATTAATTGAAAGTGACTGGATCAAAAGGAGAACGTACTAAAAATAAAACAGGAAAAATTATGCTTGGAAGAATTACCCTTAATTGGGTTTCACAATACTAATACAATCAACCAGCAAATGTGATATTTCATCTATATATGTATATTGGCCAAATATATATATATATATATATATATTATGTAGCTGTTCATTGTACTGCAATGAAACTATTTACTTACAATCATTACCACAATCTAGTGTTGATGTGTTCTGGCATGCTTGTAAACCATGAACCTTGTATTTCCTACTTGGAGAAGGCAATCAGTGAAAAACTACATGGTTGACATGTGCGGTCAGCACAAGTTAGCGAGGGACTTTGGATTCTCAATTTTATGAGAAGAAATTGCGGTCATTTTGAATAAATTTTGATAAGTTAATTTGAATGGTTCATATTTTTAAATGAAGAAGAAAAAAGAACCATTCAAATTGGCCAAAAAAAAAATTGAGATGCACTTTAAAATGAGTCATTTTCTCATTCAAAATTAAGAGAATCCGAAGTTGGAAGAGTTACTGATTCCCGGAGTTACCAGCACATAAAACTTCTTCATCCATTCTGGTCACTTGATATATTGCATTTGCCACATATTTCACATTGCTTCTAGTCACACCTGCCATGCTGTCAGAATTTACCATGAAGTCAGACAGAATCTTCTAAATTGATGACTCGTGAAAAATAAAATATTAGAAGCAAATCCTACTTTTGACTCCTAGAAAAAGGTGAACTTTCAATTTTTTTAGCAAATAGAAAGTTTAAGTGAGTTGTATCTTGAGAGTTCACTAGGGCCAAGACATGCTTCCAAACTCAAAAAATACTTACAGAGAGACTTACAAATCACTCACCAACAATGTCATCACATTAGTAGCATGATTTCATCTTACGACCTTACGAGTTATGAATTAAATCTTTACTAACTGGATCAACATTTGTTGGCTGAACTTTCAATTTATTCCTTATTCTTTAAAATATTGTTAACGTTGCCCTTCTAAGAAACCATTAAGCTAAGAGATTGCTACGTCAAGCATTTTCCGCTTATGCCACACTAGCTAACCCACACTTACCATAGCTCACAGAAAATATCCAGGATGAACAAGCAGCATTATCAGTTACCACAAGAAGCAACAAGGGAAAATTTGTGGGCAACAAAGTTCAAAGGATGGAATCGAAGGGACTTTAATGATCAAAAGAAAATGTCCATACTTGTAAATATATTAACTTCTACATTTATTTATCAACATATTCAGAATAACATTAAACACATCCTAAGAATCAATTCGCTATTGAAAATCAAAATCACTAGTCACCGTAGATTTACTGTCCATTAAAATAAATGTTCATTTATCTTAGGGAATGTTGCTTTTTTGGGATTAATGCATCCGCATAAAGGGACTTTTAGTGCAACAACTATGAAGATAGATACTGACTATAATGATAATAATAATTGAATTCTCTTTTAGGTCTTTGAAGCATACCTTATTCGTCCATCTGGAGTCATGTATACATGGAAATCCTTCTCCAATTGTTTAACCTGATCACGGGATAATCCTGAAAGGCTGAACATGCCAACCTGCATTTGCATATATGCCTTGACGTGAATATTATGCACTCAACTGATAAGATCTTTTCTCAGGGAAAAATAACAGCAAATCATCCAAAACCTGCTTAGTTATATGCTCCCAGTTGAGAGAAGAATCCAATTTCTCGAGGCTCTGACGCAAGGTAGATCGCATTGTTTGGATTCGATTGGCCATATCCTTCAAAAAGACATGTTGACATAAAAGGTGATTAAAGTCCCAAGATCATTTAGAAAAGAAGATCATAGGAAAACGGAATAGCTTCAGTGTTACCTTCAACTCTTTTCTCCAGAGTGATTTCATGTCTGTATCGCTCAAGATCATCGTAACCAATAATAGACCATGCATAGGGAGGTTGCTATGCATTGCAAGTGAAATCTTCTCCAGCTGGCTTTTCATAGCAGCAGATTTCTCTTTATCGGTGCACAAAACACTGCCATGGGTAATCATGTTGATCAAGAACACACAGGAATAAAATAATCAAAAGCTTGAAAATACTGTAAGAAAAGTATATGTAAATCTTGATAAAACATTAAAATCGACCTTCAACTTTGAACTATTTACTATCTTACCTAAGACAACCAACTTTATGCTCAAATAATGCCATAATCTTAGCAAATGATTGAGCACAGCCTATTAAATGTCCATCTTCTAAAAAAATCTGCAGTGCCCGGGCATCCTTGTTAAGATCCCCACTTGCAAAACCTTGATAAGCCATGTCGAAAAAGGGAAAATGATTTTTTGCCTGAGAAATAATTGAAACAAGAATAGTATTCAATCTACAATATTGAGTTACAAAACAATATACCATAGCATAATTACAAATGTCACCTTGAATTTATATGAGATTTCTCTCCACTGTTCCTCAGTTGGGTCAACACCGGTTGGATTATGAGCACAGGGATGGAGCAAGAAGAATGAACCATCTGGTGCATTCTGAATTTACCAACGCAGACGAATTAATACAATGTAAGACTTACCTTAGTAGCATGTTTTCATATTGTCCTGTCAACTACGCAGTATGAACAATTATATAGTTGATTTAGATATCCAAATTTCAGAGAGGTACTTCGTATATTAAACTCATTCTTTCTACTTTGCAAATGAAGTACGTTCTTAATGTCACGTAGAATGTGACTCGCTATAGTTAAATTCTTATACCTTCACATCAGCCATGAGTGCTGAAAAATCTAAACCTTTTGTATCACGATGGTAGTAGTGAAACATTTTGACCGGAATTCCAGCCTGTCTCCATATGTTGTGGTGGCTATGAAAAAAAAGAAAAAGCTCGTATATTAGATAATGAAATTTGAAGGAATAAAGTTCAAAGTTAAAATTGAATGCATGAATGAATCCAGCTCTATTGTGAACTAAAGATATTAAAATACTTCAATAGGAGCAGTGCCTACTTTGACCAGGTTGGATTTGGTAGATAAATTTGAGAATCAGGACAGAAATTCCTTTGGAATTCAGCAAAGAGCCGACATGCACCAGTTCCAGAGAGAGCCGGAACTCCAGCAAACAAGCCTTCTTTGACAACATGTGAATCATTTCCATATGCCAATTTCACACTCTCCAGAACAAACTTTGAACTGACTGCGGAAGAGCTTAATTCCCTGCCAGTAACTCATATTAGGGATCAAAAGTGCTCGTTTTTTTTTTTTTTAACATATAAAGAATGTCGCACAGATTTATAAGAGGTAATGCAATAGTTTATAAATAAAAAACATGGTCTTTATGGGGGGCAAGAACTTTTAGGAATTTACAATTCAACAAACCTGCAATAACAAGAAAGTTTTTACCATTTTTTAAAAATTATTGAGCACCAAAACCAGCCCAGAAAGAAGTATAACTTCTCTCAAATGAAAAACTGGCAAGTGACGTGGATTCTAGTGACTGTTCCAAATATTTGAGAGGAATGAAATTCCAATTAGTTGGAGAAGTATTGCAGTTCTTTTTATTATGCAAAAGCACAAATTATGGTATCTAAATGGCATACAGCCATGTTGACAGTGAAGAAAATCACCAAATTCAACTATATTAATAGGTCATAAGGCATTAATTTACCATGTAACGGAGCACTTCAAAAGCTCAGAGTTTAATATGACCATTATTCAGAGTTATCACAGAGGAAACAGCTCAATCAACCTCTCACAGTAAGACTTGTTCAGTAGTTCCGGTTTTGATATACGCAGTTTAAATTAGCTATGCTCCACCTGCCCGCCCACCCACAGGCATCACTATAAAAATAAGAAGGAAAGAAAGGAAAGGAAAAACTCAGTTGACACACACACCAGGTCATTTTATGTTCGACAGGCTTAATGATTTTGTCCAAAGTATTTTTTTTTTTTTAAATGACCAAGTTGTACAGCCTGCTTCGAGGTTCAAAATAACTACTTTACCACACATTTTTGGCTCTAACTTATAGTACTGTTTAATGCCATACACACACACACACACACACACACACTCAACATAAGACTCACTCTACTGGAAATCGACTAGTGTTAACATCAATACTTATTGTCAAACGATAATTAAAAGAGGAGCACTCACTCGAATTTACACCCCTTAATCTCAGCTTCTGCATCACGAACACTTTGGAGAACAAAAGGCTTACCTTCATCATCCCTGTAAGTCCCCTGGAAATACAAAAATGGACGTGAAACATAAAAGTAATCAATAACCAAACAGAAACTTGAAAATGAATTCATGGAGATTAAAGCACGAGCATTTTCTATCAAAGACGCAAAACCAAGTGAAAGTAATAGAGATGGGATTACCACTCCAAGATTGATCTTGTGGGGAAATGGGTCAGCACGAAAAGCTTCCTTCACCGCGACAATGGGGTCCTTCTCTGCGATTCTCACATGGTCCCACCATTTAGAGGCCCTAGCAGAAGAGGATAGGAATCTTGCACTCGTTCCTCCATTAATATACTGCCACATGATGCTTACTACTTTGTCTGTAAATTAGCGAGTGAATCGTGATGGGTATGAAGCGAATAGAGTGATCCAGGAAGATATATGAACAAGGATAGCAAGAAAAGAGTGAAATTTCAGCTTCCATGATTTTTCTGACGGGATTTCAGCGTTCTCTGGGTATTCCAACGTGCTCCTTCGGTTTTCGATCGTCTGGTTTGGTTTCTGGAAAGGAAACAAAAATATCAAAACAGAGGGCTCAGGTTTGACTTCTCTATGACCCTCCGACGCATCACGCGTCGTCGTATTGTTAACTATTTCGGACCGTCCAGTTTTGATCTCAGGATTGGACAATAAATCTATTTTGTCGACTGTGAAATGAGACTAGAAATATTGGACAGGTACGATGGGGCACGTACTTCAGGCAAGTCAATGAATGTATTGACTGGATGTCTCAAGAAGCCCATTGGATTGATAATAATCTTACTAATTTTTTAATGTAAAATAATCTTACTTCTAGTTTTATTCAACCGCTTACCCAGTGTAGGGAGATTTTGGGACTCAATCATCCCGGGAATAAAATCTCCATTATTCAAATTTAGTTGGGAGAATCTAGAATTTGTTAAAGTAGTATATTTATTTTTTAAATGATAATTTTATATAAATATTATAATAAAATGGAGGAATCACCAGAGGTTAGCTCAAATAGGAGGCGCAGGGCGGGAGAAGTCAAAAGTTCAGATCCTAATGTATAAAAAATAAACATTGTAGCACAACAATTTTTTATCATTATTAATTCAGTCTCCAAAAGTTTAACTGAAAAAAACTCAGCTTTTATAATTTATTAAATTAAAAAATTGTAAAAAAAGAGTTATTTTATGGTAAGAAATGGTAGAACGCTAGAAACTAGGTTCTTGCGATTTTAAAAAAGCAAAAAATTTATATATTCAATGTGCTCAATGCTTGTTTTCAATTAAATTATGACATATAGATTTTTATAAATTAGTTATTTTATATTAAATTCTTGTTATTAATATTATCAATACATTAAAATTTACTTGTCATAATTTGATTAGATATAAGTATATTAAATATATAAAATTAACTATGTAAATTTTGCCCTTAGAAAAATTATAGGAATTGAGTTATTTTGAATCAAAATGTAGAAATTAAACTGATAATTGAGAAAAGTTTAAGAACTAAAAGTTACATAAATTATATGATATTATTATATTCTATTATTTACTAAGCTTTTAGAAATGTTCTTTATTAAGGAGTCTTAATCAACAATTTTTATAAATATTTTCTTTAGCTTTCCTCTATCTTTTTTAACATGGCTCAAAATTATCCATGCCACTACCTCTTTTCAGCCTTCCATAAATTTTGATCTAAATCAACAAAAATAAAAAATAAAAAATCTACATGGCTCTCAGCTTCGGTCAATAAAAACAAAATCTAGATGGCTTATATGCTTATGCTTATTACAATGATAAGCATAGAGTGCACATTATTAATATGCATTCTATGCAATGTGATTCCATATTTTAGATGTTGATCTTATGAGTTATGACTCATGGTGTGTGACTGTAGATGTCAAATTGGAGGTCCAAACCCAATTTCGCAAATCCAGTTTATGTTAACATGTTTGGTAGTTAAGATTTTTTTTTTTTTTTATTATTCTTGCTAAAGCAAAACATAGTTGAAATTCAGTTGGGAAGACAGGTGTAAAACGTATTTTCAAAAAAAAAAAAAGGTGCAAAAGGTTGGATATTCCAAATCAATTTTTCTTTTTTTTTTTAATGAATACTGAAATCTATTATAAGAACTGGAAGATACAAGATAACACTTACAAACTCAAGGACAACCTTTCATCATTATCCACCTCATGATGAAACAAGAGATGGTGAGTGATCAAAGGTTTCAAAATTACAAGGAAGGCCATGCAATCCAATTCACCAAATCAATTTAAACCAAGCAGAACAGAGTTTTAATTCAAGTGACCTGCGTGTATTATTCACGCTTTATTGATATTTGGTAGAGGAAAGAGTAGATTTCATCACACTAAATTATAGATAGAAGCCCTTTCTTTGTCAGTTTGTTGCTTCATGCTCAATACCAGTAATCCAAATTTAAGGATTTCTAGCACTCATAGCATCTAGGATAGGATACTAAAATGGTATTTTTCATCTATTAAAAGTCCAAAACGCTTTGTAAAATAGTATGTCAGATATAATGCTAAATTATTGATATGCTTCAACAATAATAATAGCGTTAAATGACAAAAAATATACTGTAGAATAAAAGAAAACAAAACCACCAAATCCTCTTCAATTGGTAGAGTGTCACTGTTTTGAGAAGTTTCTAAACCCAACTATTTGTCATAGAATATGCACTAATAAGAACTTGTACTCTCTATACACTGCAGTGTTCATGATGGACCAGCACCAACATGCCAACAAAAATGCTAAAGATATCATGTCTCATTAACGCGCTACAAAAAGAACTACATGATAAGAGAATAATAGAGAGAAGAGGGGAATAAATCATCTGAACATTCGGAAATGTAACCAATCCTGACAGCAAGATTGATATAACCTGGTTAAGAAACTGGTAATCTCACAATTAAAAAGACTCAAATATTTATAAATTACATGCCGCAACTATTCCAGCATCCCGTGACTTCCATGACAAGCCATTGCATCAGTTGATCACTTGACGGCTAGAGACCAGAAAGAGCACATTTCCACCACAACTGAACTATCTCAAACCTGGTCTTCTGTGACGATCAGTTCCACTAAGAGCCTCTTCGAGTGGCAATGATGGAGGAAAACCCTTTGCCTCCATCATCCCTCGTATCCTTCGTGCATCCTGCACAAACCCACGAAAAAGAAGACTTCTATAACTCTCTCAAACTTGTGTGGCCTTAATGGATCTTTTTTAGCCTCAAGAACTCCCATAGCTTGAAGGGCCTTTTTCTTATTTCCTGCCCTGGCATACATATCACAAAGACTCACTTGAATTTTTAGAGAAGGAGCCTCACCCTGCCGAGCAATTTTCCCCAAAATTTGTTCGGCCTCATCAAGAAGCAGCATGTTTGCAAACTAGTCCACAAGAACAGTATAAGTGGCAATCCCAGGCTCAAATCCATCCAGCTCTAGCTTCAAGAGAAGATTTAATGCCTTATCCTATAAATTTTTCCTCTCATAAGCTGCAATCATGCTAGCAGTGATCCTTTCATCAGGCTTATATCCAAGTGTTATCATGTAGTCAAAGCTGTTTCTAGCCATATCAGGGTTGTCTGCTCGCTCATATGCCTCAACAAGCAATGCACAGGTCTCCATTGCGGGCTGAAATCCTGCAAACTGCATAGATGTTGAAATTCGTACAGCTCCACTAACATCCCCAAGATGAGCAAAAGATCGGAGCAATGCAATGCATACTTCATAGGAGGGTTTCATTTCTCCTGTCTCCAGTTCCCTCAATAGAGCTTCGCCCATATTAGGTTGGTCAGCATTTACATATGACATAATAATTACATTATAGATTTTCAAGTCTGGTTGGACACCCTGGCTTCTCAACCTTTCAAATGCTTCTTTTCCACGATCAAAATTACCTGCCTTGGCATACATGTGAATCAAAGAACTGGCTATTATAGCATCTGGCAGATAACTATTTTCATTCATCTTCTTGAGGATCCTCTCAGCATCGTCATACTTGCGCTCTTCAGCATAGATACTAATAAGCTTAGAATAGTCTCGGATATTTGTTTGAAAAGACTTTTCAGTCAATGCAATTTCTGCTACCTATAAGTGTAAAGTTTGACAAATAATTAAATCCATAGACCAGAATAGCCTCGTTTTCATCCCCGTTTCAATTTTGCTCACTTTAAAATTATATCCAAGTAATACACAAAGGTTCTAAAATCTCATGAGCTACATATACAAATATTTTCATAGTTTCATCTGCACTAGCAAAATAAATTATTCACGTAAGCATAAAAACCTCAGAAGTTTGTGGGACATGCATCATAATTTTTAGTTAATCGATAATCCACCCAAAAGTACAGCTGCTCGAATCAATTTCCAAGAAAATTAATTCCTTGTGATTAGGGATTGATTGATGAAAATTCTGAGCACCCTCAAACAGCAAAGAATTACATGAGAAACATTAATAAGTAGCTATTTTGGACACTCTAAAACTAGCCTTGTTAACCAGAAATAGAAGGAATAAACAAACATATCTCCTACCAAAAAAACAGCAAAGGTGTTAAGCTGTTAGATGGGAAGAAAGATGATGAAGAAAAGATCTACCAAAGTACAACTACCATTACTGATATGGATCCTCTAGGAACTTGTGTAGAGACCCAACAAAAAACAAAAGATGTTAGTAGAAACTTGAAAACACAGAAAACATGATCAGCCAACACCCTAAAAGAATTTGTTTCTAGATCCTTAGCTTATAACAAGCACAACAAGAATCGATTAGACTCTTGCAACCCAAAAGTATTCTGTCAAGAACACAGAAGCCACAAGTATAAAACTTGCAAATAACTCAATATTATTCATACCTTAAGAAAAACTGAATACAACTTGTTCCTTAAATAGATAAAATTTCTAACCCTAGATGACTCTAAAAGTAAATAAATAAAATATATTTTGAATATCCTAAAGACGAGGAGGATAAGATGCCATCTACCTAAATTAGTTCAAAGTTATAATCATACCCTTGATATCCTTATCTGGCACCTCATTTATCTAACATAATAGGACTTAATGGATAATTGAAGGATTTAAACTTAAATGGATAAAATCCTCCAAATCTGAAAAGGTCCTCATTAAATAAATAAATGGGTTAAGGTGCAATTTGCCCCTAAACTGTTCACGGAGGAACAATGTTGCCCCTAAATTATTCAACGTAGCAATGTAGCCCCTAAACTAATTAAATTGGAGCAATGTTACACCCCCTGTTTAAAACCCAAAAACGTATGTTATCTGAAGCAAGTAAGTCCCAATTTAACCTCGTCTTTGGGTTTCAGCATTTAACCTTGTTGTCTCCAATTTCCCTTGTCTCTGGGTTCCTACGAGAAACTTGCTCTTGCTGCCATTTGTTTACATCATTGTCAGCTTCCTCATCATCACCATTGTTGCTTCCTCTAACTTCCAACACAAAAGCTTGCCCTTATATGATTCTCCACCTGATGATCCCAAGCACCTCCATTGCCATTATAGAACACCACATACTACTATGCACCAATCTATGCTAGAATTGCAGACCTATGAGCAAAAGAAAAAAGGACTCGACAACGATGGAGAAACAGAGGTTAAAGACTTTGTTTTGTCTCCGGCTGATGTGTCACTAGCAAAGAACATAAGCAATGAATTCTCACCAAATTCTAATGACTCACTTGATAGGATGTGGAGGGCAATCATGGAGGGGAAGGGGAAGATGGTGACGCTGATGCTTAAGAAGAGTGACACTTGGATGGCGATGATCAGGAAAGCAAAGCCATTGTTAAGCCATGGAGATGGTAATGCAGAGGAAGCCGAAGACAACGATAATAATGATGATAGCGATCCAGTGTCTTGGGCTAAGAGGGAATTGAGAAAGTCTGAGACTTTTAACAATACGGCGTCATTGAGAAGGGAGAAATTGATGAGGTTCTCACGGCTGCTAACATTACTATTGATGGGTTCTACTCCAACAGGTGCAGCACTCACAGTCGGTGGCCTTTTTGATCAAACTTCTTACTCTCTCATAGCTTAACAGTCAAACGTTTGGGTTTTAAATGATAAGGGCAACATTGCTCTAGTTTAATTAATCTAGGGGCAACATTGCTCCTCTGCGAATAGTTTAGGAGCAAAATTACACTTTAACTCTAAATAAATTCAAAAACAAACTAATAAAAATCTAACTAATCATGGCATGTTAATTTATGAGCCTCCCTTTAGTCATTGGACCTCCTACTTGTCATATAAATGCTGAGCAGGATGCCATGTGAGATAGGATCTTGATCTCCATCAATTACCAGCTTGGAAATCTAAGAACAAACCAACGTACTGAAAAGACCCTAGTTTTGGGAAGTGCAACGCATAGAAAACATGATTTGTGCTAGTTATACTCAAGTTCAAACATGTCTTCCATGAAAGATTAAATGGGAACTTCTTGAAGATTGAGAAGCAAGATCGGAAATAGAACATAAAATCAGTACCAAAGTGATGAATTTAAGAGAATGAAGAAAATATTTATAATCTGCACGTAACACCCCAAATCTAATCAACCAAGAACTAGTGGACAACTGCAATGGCACAAAAAATCAGAAACAACCCCCTGTAGTCTATAACTGATTGCTGATTCTCCCAGCATCTTCCTACCACTGTTATATCATTGCTAGTTCAAATTTCTCCACGCTAATGGAAATGAACAAATTGCAACGTGTAGTTTGTGAACATATATTCTACACTCTGTTCAAAATACAGCAGAAAATTTGCGAAGAGATCATGTATTTGGGATTGAATATTGCCCTTTTCGAATAATCAGCTGAAGTCTCACAATAGATTTGTACAATACAATCCATTTACCTTCCAAAGATCCATAATCCAATACTAGAAAGAAGGTTTGGGTTGTAGTAAAATAATCTGGCTAAACAGTTAATGAAGCAACACAAACTATTCACGTACCTTCAAGTACAAAGGAATATTCTGATCTTTCAATTTGTCAAGTAAATTAATCCAGTCTATCCTGCTAGGTTGATGAATCTCTACCCACTCAGCTATCAGCAAAGACTGATCATCCACCTCGTTTAATGGCAGAATTTTCTCAGTGATAAGTTTCGCTTTCCCAGATATAAGTTTTGGCTCAGGCAGCCAAATGAATTCCCCTGCCTCATGAATTCTGTCAGCCACTTCTGCCCACTTATGATCGGAGAGATTAAGCCCATATGTACTGTAGTTTATCTTTTCTCATCTCTTGGGGAGAGTAACAGCCTTTGATTTCTCCTCGACAGCATCAACCTCCTCACTCTCTGTTTTCACTTTTTCCTCAACTTGTGCCTCTTTCCTCAGGCGCTCCAAACTCTTGTAAAAATCATGTTCCTCCATTTTCTCATGTGCCCACTTGAATCTAAGCTCTCTAAGCAAATTACCACGAACACCAATTTTGCCAGCAAACCCGCACATCTCCTTCAATTCTTTGGATTGCAAAATACCCTTCATCCTTTCCTTCTTCCGTTCCTTATTCATATCATCCATTACAATATTGCTCACTTCCCAGACCGTCCTCCACAAATCCTCACTAAAATCTTGTGAAGAAGAGACCACCACATTCATTACCATCTGCAACCCACCCTTTTCAAACTGACACAAACTTGTGAACTATGATCAATGGCATGCCATAGAAACTGGATATTCTTTGACAAGATGCTTACGCATTGTCCACACAAACCATGACAAGAACTCGATCATCATTCCATCCTCCTCCTCATTCTCCACCTTTGAATTAACTTTAGGGTCGTAGTCCAAATTGTCTGGTCTCGTTAGTGGAGCAGAATGTAGCTGTCTAGAGAAGGGCGAAATAGAGTTTAGGGATTTATGTGATAGGAAGGTAGTGAAGGCATAGTTGTAATCAATAGAAGGAAATGTAGGAAGTGTGATGGTGGAGTTAGTTTTACAAAAATCAGATAGTGGGCTTGCATTGAGCCTAGGTAGTTTTTTGATGGCATGTCTGCAAAGTAAACTCCTCAAAACTATGTCTCAGTGATTAGTCATTACTCACTAGGTGCGTTCCGGCAGAAAGAAGCGTAAGATACGGTTTAATAAGTTCAGCAAACTATGAACATCATTCACACGGTCTCGATGTAGACGAATTCAGAAAGAGGAGATGAATGGCTAATCTAAAAGTCGATATCTCATAAACATTCCTTTTCTAATTACACAATGTAGATGACAAAACAAAATCTAGGAGTTCAACATGAGACTTGATAAAAGTACAAAATGGATGATATGACACAAAACACAGAAAACACCATCTACTTACTACGAAGAATGATACTCATTGACAAATACGGTTTCTATTCTGGGCCCATGGCAAGCTCATGCCAAGCATCCGCATTAACTTGTTGAGTCTCCTGATTTGAGTCCTCAGTATCGTCCGTCCGAACTATCAGTGTTGGAGGTAGAGGAAGGTCGTCATCAGGGAGTGTATCCCTCATCCATTCCTCATCAACAATATCAATAAGAATACCCAAGCTCAGTTCTGCCATATTTGACCCTTCAACAGCCTACGCCCTAGAAACTAGGGTAAGTAATCGCCGTAGTTGACGGTGCGGAGCGGGTGCCGGGCTGCGGGCTATTATGAATGGCTAATCTAAACTCACATAAGGAAAATCAAAGGAAAAATTCAGGTGAAGTGCATAAAATAATGAACCATACCTCAGGAAACTTCAGTCTTCAAAACAAATTCCGTTCGACGAGCCGGCGAGGGACAAGTAGAGCAACTGGTCGAGGCGTGGTAGCCGAGGGTGTGAGGGATTTCACTTTCAGTCTTTAGATCGCGTAGACGCCTAGGGTGACCTAGAGTTCGCGTGCGTCTTTACTCTTTAATCTCAAGCACTATTTTAAAATCGGAACCCACCAGATGGTCGGATCGATCTTACCATCAACTGATATGAATTTTAATTTGATTTATATAAAAAAATTATTTTAAAAGTTAAGTCGGATTGATTCATTCTGACAGTTAAACCAAAAATCAATTCAATTTTAAAAAGCCAGACTATCAAATTTTTTTTTAATTTTTTATCAAATTTTTTTAAAAAAATAATTAATTTTTTTAATCATTTAATATTATACTGTATTATGTGACTTGTTAAATCATCATAAATTTATAATAATTATATATATATTTTTTATATTTAAATTATTATATATATATATAAATTTTTTAATTTAATTATTATGTTATTAATTTATTTATTAATTTAATTTAATTTAATTATATAAATTGTGAATCGCTTATTTTTTTCAATTCAATATTCTCAGTTCTAAAAATATTGATCTTAAAGGCTGTTGGCTTACCCCCAGTAACTCTGCAACGGTCACGTGCTGTCATCTTGGGTTGCCTTTTTTCTCTCCCCTCAAGTAAAAAAATTTGGTTTCTCTATATTTTATGTTAATTATAAATATTTTTTTTCTATTTTTAAAACATATAATCCTCTAATAGTTATAAAATACAAACATCTTCCTATTTTTAATATTTTACTTTTATCTACTTAATTATTAATTGATTGTTAAGTAATATGTTAGATCAAAATAATTATTTATCACTAGGCGAATTAAAATTTAAATTATTGTTAGAAGATGTTTCCAACATTGTAAGAGATAATTGTGCATCCAACAAGATCGTTCATCACAAGAAAACACTTGTACCCAATAAAAAAAGAATTTAGCTTGATTTTGAAATTAAATTAAAATAGAAATTCAAACCATGTGATTTGATGGGGTTCACTAACGTTAATGGGAAAAAAAAGATTATGATGAGTTCAGCCATTAATTTTTTTTCCAATTTTTATTGTTTCTTGATCACTTTAGTTTTAATTGAATTGTCTAATAAGATAAATCCCAATATAATATAATATAATATAGTATAATATATATCTTAGTCCATAAGTTATATTGGATTAATTCAAGATCAAATATTAAATACATATTTAATTTAATACAATATCCAAATTCCAATCACGGGCTGATATTATAATAATCCAACACATAAGAAAGATGGATTTTAATCATAAAGATATACAAAATATCACCAAACACATGACTTTTCCCGGCAAGACTATCAGCGAAGCTGTTACAATCACTATATATACATGAAGGTAATAGATACATTCCAATTCCCGCGAATCATATCGGTTGTCTCCTCAATTATATCACGGAAACGATGATTTAAAACTAGTTCCCTTGTGATCAGGTTGATAGCCCCTGCCCAATCAGTAAAAACCTCTATACTATTAAGTCCACAGCACCATTACAGCTCCAAACCTCTCAACATTCATGAACTTACTGAGTTATAATAATTAATTAACGCATGTGTTTGTTTCCTTGAAGCAGATATTATCTGTTGTGATATAAGGGACTAATCATACATCATAATTTCTCTTATGATGTTTAACATATTCATCCAAGGATAATTTCTTGAATGCTAAAGGTAATTATTAGAGCTTCCAATATAGATCCACCCAATAAATCTTTCACAGTACCTAATCCATAAGAAGGCCAGCTCATGTGGGATTGGGAAAAGGACAATTACGTTCCCAGGAGCATCATATATATAGTATACGCACAAGTGATGACATTTCGCAACTCAAGTGCAGATTACATGACTTCATTCAACACATACATGAACCCAAATACAGGAATATCATAAGCATATGTAATATTGTTGACTTACAGACCTTATACGCATAAGATAAAACCTCCTTGTAGGTTTGATAATTAAGTACGAGATTATAGTTTAGAGAAACTCATGAAGAATTAACAGATCGACAACTAGCTCTAATCTGACCATTGGAACCAGTGAGTGGGCTAAGGTTGCCCATCTTAACCATGGCATTGGCAAAGTCCGTGTTGAAGGTGTCAGGATTGTTGCTGTAATCAGTGACCTGAGAGTCAGTGGATCCGCCATTGAAGAGCTGTTGGTCTGAGTGCAAGAGACCCCTTTGTGTCAACAGGTTGGTGAAGTAGGCATTGTCGAAGGTGTCCTGTGAGGTGGTGTCTAGAGCTGCCAGATTATCATCACCACCTGTGCTCGGACAGTTCGCTTGCAACGATGTTGCAAATGTCGAGTTGATATTGCTTTCGTTGTATATCCTTGTTCTGAAGGATACACATCTTGCTTGTCCTATCGTGTGAGATCCTGCAAAACGTGTTGGGATCATGTAATTAGACTAAAGAAGAGCATATAAGGTAACAAAGACCTATAAAGGCAATGTCTCTTGTGCAAGTTTAGACAAACCTGAGAGAGCAACCATTTCTCTGGTGGTGAAGCCCTTGTTGGAGAAAGCAGTGGTAAGGTTGCTAAGATCTGAGGTGGGACCAGGCAAGTCTGAATTTGCATCACTTAAGCTGGCTGTTGTTGAATCTCTTCTTCCCAACACCACATCCCAACTAGGTCCTCCGAGCTGCCATTCAACCACCCGTCATTACTATCAATTAATGAAACTCAAAGTTTCTTATAATTTGAGACGAGGGAGTAAAATATAATGTAATTTACAATACTCACAGCAACAACAGAGTCTCGAGCAGCAACAGCAAGAATATCGGCACAAGAGACAACACCAGGGCAGATTGCTTCAAGTTGAGTTTTGACAGTGTCGATGACATCAAAACCTCGAAGCGAATTAACGTTTGGAAAAGCAGTCTTTTCACCAGTGAAGCTCGACGTGTCGTCTAATAATACTGATGCATCGCATCCCTGTGACATACACCACCATTCACAAGTTCATCTTCCAACCCAATACAATATCAAATTATAAGATAAGTTGATCGCTATCTCGTTAATTATTAATTAGCTGGACCCTCACATAGATGACAAGAACGTTTTAGAGAAAGTGATCCATATGTATACAATCACCCCTTTATTCTGTCAAAATTATTGTTTAAGTTGCATGAAAGATGAAGTTAGAATAAATTATTCGAATGAAAGTAACATAAATCGATCATTTTTTTTTATGACGCGATTGATTAGTTTTCCTCTCTATTTAAATAATGCAACATGAAATAAAATTTATGCATATTTATCGAAAGAGTAAATTGATGATGATTAATTTTTAAATTAGGAGGTTTTATTTAGAAGAGAAGCCGACCCCATCTAGTGAATAAAGGCTCATTATTGTTGTAATCTTTTAAAACTAGTTGGTAAATGTACAGCAATATCATTTTAAAAAAAATCAATAAACGTAACTCATGCGGTTAAATAACTAATTATAAATATGTTCAAAAGTTAATTTTGAAAAACTCTAAATACCTAAGAATAGAATACAATATCGGCAACTTAGGGGTTGTTTGTTTAAAATTAAAAAATAAGTAATTTTTATATAAGTTAGAGATTTTATAAAAAGAGATTTATATCATAGAAATTTTATAAAAAGTAGACATTATTTTATGTTTGGTTACAATGATAAAAAAGTGATTCTTAATTAGTTATTTTTAAATTTTGTAATATTTTTCTTGATTTTTATTTTATAAAAGTGATTTATTATTATATTATTTTAAAATTTTACAATATATTTGCATATTTCTCCTTTTTAAAATACCCTCTCTCATCTATCGCATTAGATCATTTTCAGAAGCTATTCAAAGTAACTTCTTAAAATAATTAGAAATCTTTTTTTTAATTCTGATTATTTTTAAAGTTTGAACAAACATAATAAAAAATAAAAAAATAGATTTTAAAAAAAATAAGTGATTTTTTCCTTAATTAGCCTGATTTATTGTTTATCTCATGCATAAAGGATGTCGCTAGCTATGTAGTTCTCTACCTGCATGTAGTAACATCATATTCTAGACCAAGTTAAACTAATCAAAACAAAACATGTCAAGATTTGTCATCTTCTTAGCCATAGCTAATTGTTTTAACTATTGTATACAGCTATAGACTAGCTAAACCTTAAATTCTTTACTACAAAAAATAACATAAAACAAAGAGTCTCTCTCTCCCTCTATATATATTTATTGTGTATCAAAATGTTCTATACGTTTAACACATTAACCAGGAACATGAGATGACGTAATTAATTCTTGCATGACAAGAACGTTAAGGAATGTGCTATAATGTGTGTGTGTGTGTGTAAAAGTAATATTATTTAGACTACTTAAAATATCACCCAAATTGGACTAGTAATGGAAATATAGTAAATGGAAATAATAAAAGAAGATGAAGTAAAAGGCAAAAGGTGACTTGCTTGAACAAAGCAATCATGAAAATGAAGACGGAGCAAGGACGCTCCCATGCGTTTCTCGCTGTTGACAGCAGAGTCTATTGCAGCCTTAATGGTAGCAGACGCATTAGGACATGAAGTTGCATAAAAATCAGATGTTAATTGTGCTGACACCATCCTAACTAACACTGAAATTAGCCAAAGGCTTAATTTCAAGCCAGAGAAAGAACCAGCAGCCATGGCTTCTGATACTGAAAAGAAGTTGCAGCAGCAGAAGAAGAAGAAGAAGAAGAAGATAGTTGTGGAGGAGCTTGTGACTAAAACTGCAACGAGTAGCTCATATTTATACTGCAAATTGACATGTATCTAGCTAGCTTAGAGTGGACTATGATTTGTCCTTCGAAGTTATCTGATCAAGCTGTCATATTCATGATGATGAGTTTGATCAAGGTTCAGTAATAAGAAACCCTATTATTTAATCTGTTCCCCAGGCCACCGAATTAAATAAATAAAGAAAAATTAAAATTGCATTTGAATATTGGAAATCAAAAGAGGCTGTGGGATCGCTGGGATGGCGCCGTGATGTGTGAGTTTAATTAATTAATGTTTGCATAGCTGTGTGATAATTGACTGGTCAGAAAATCTTGTGTCTTTGGTTGAATACTTAGCCAACATGGTGACCCCCCTCCACCCCCAAACATTGTCCAAAATAATAACTTAAATTTATGAGGGATTTGATTTGAAATGTATTATTTTGAATATAATTTTCTAATATATCGAAAGTAGAGAAAGACGCGTGAAAGAAGCACATATGCCAAGGCCCCCATGCACCATTAACGACTTTTATTGCTTTTGTTTAATTAGGTGTGAGATCAGATCAGTGTTATTTGATATATTTTGTTCCATTAAAATCGAGATTATATTAAAGCAATATGATGATTCAATAACTAGCAACCAGATTAGATTTCATAGAAAGGACTAAATTCTTACAATGTGATGAATCATGTTTGAATTTCTACCAAAAGATTTGTGCATACTTTTAGCATCTAATTTTGTGCTTCAACCTAGAGGTTTGGTCCAGCCATTAATAGTTTGTGCCTCATGAGCCTTCATATCCTAGGTTCATATCCCAGTTCGGCCATCATTGATGGGGCATAAGGTCGGACCCAAAAGTTTGCATAAATTTTTTATCATATTATTTAAATTTCTCATTATGCTAATACAAAATTTAACAAATTGCATCATTTTCATATATTAATTGAAAAATTAAAATAAACAAAACAATTTCGACCATATTATGTTGCAATATCAACAATTTCAATAATTGCAATTACATACTGACTGAAAAAAATAGATAAAAAATGTAGCATTTAAAAGGGTTAGCCTGAGATGCTTTTTAAAAGGGTTTATTTAAGGAGATGGGCTTAAAAATTCTTTTATGCAAAAATCCCATATTTTTAAGCTCCATTCTCAAGAAAATACAGGATTTAAATGGTATTGTGAGTTGCCCGATCTTTATTAGAAGTTTCACCTCAAACAGGATTGCATATGTGTATAACAGAGAGGGAGGGAGGGAGATATATATACACGAAAAAATGTCTAATTCTTAGCCATTTTCTTTCTCCCGACTTACCCGATAACGAATTTATACGGATTTTATATTTGATCATGCTCTTCATATATACAACTACGAGTTTAATTATTTTAATTTATACATCATAGATATTCTCAATTAATTCGCATTAATTTAATTGCATAAAATAACTAGAAAAAGTAGAACTTGCGGAGCAAAGATGTAATAACCTTTTTAATGAATAACAATTTCATTGCTTTTCTCGCTTACCTCAACCAATCTAATCCCATGATTACATATGAAGAAAAGGCCGGCTTTCAAATTCGTTTACACTGTCGCTTTCCTTACCATAGTTACGAATTTTGATGTCTACAGTGGTAAAAAGAAAAAAAAAGGAAAAAAAATATGTTATGATGATGATGAGATATGATTGAGGACCACGTAATTGAGTTGGGCGAACATGCCAAAAAAAAAAAACTATTAATCAAGTTTCCACGCTAGACTATGGAATATATATAAATTAATCATGAAGCGAGCAACGCTTATATATATGACTAATGAGAGAAAGGAATTAATGTGAATGAAGAAAAATAGTGCAGTTTGAAGAAGTCATAATGTACCAGCGGGATATTCTAAAGGGAATGGAAATGATTGTCTAGATTTTGTCGTATTGACAAATGCTCCAGCCTCCAATGATTAAGGTGTTTCCAAAAAAAAAAAAAAAGTAGCAATTTGAACATATACCAAAGCCAAATAACACTTTTATGAAGTATATATAGTTATACGTATCACGGGACATTTGGATTAATGAATAAGAGTGTTGGATTTCTTTTAATTTAAGTTCAAATGTCCGAACTCCAAACACAACAAATATAATTGTAGATATCTTCTAGTATTCAAACGTTTGATTATGTAGTATACAAAATACTATAGTATTTGAAAATAATCATTATTAACATACATAGTTGTAATATTTAAAATAAATTACAAAATCCATTAATCATGAACATTGGACTCAAATTCAGTAACGAATCCAGAAATTAATAAATGCGTAAAATAAAAAATAAAATATGAAGTGAAGAGTTCAAAATCTACTTTAATGTATTTTTTTTACAAGTAAAAATTTTAAATTTTTTTCTAAAAAGATTATTGGAGGGGGGGCGGGGGGCAAGATTTGTGCTACTCAAATTCAAACTTTGATATAAAATTGACAAAAAGGTGGCTGGTTATGTGGAAAACACGTGGGTGTACTGACCGGAGTTTGCTTCCGTCCCGCGCGGAACCCGTCCGCTGCGCCTTCTCCAATCCTTTAATGACATCGACGGTTCATATTTAAAGCTTTTAAATTTTATTTTTATTTTTATTTTTATTTTATATTTATTAAAATAAAATATTTATAAAAATTTAATAGTCTAAATTTAATTTTAAAATTTTTTATATTTTTATAAATTGATTTTGCAAATTTATTATAAATATTTTATATTTAAAATTTTTAAATTGTAATTTTTTAAAAATATTTTGGGAAGTGTCAGGTGAAAGATTACCGCTATTTTTAATATTATATTTAAGAAAATAAGTATTATAAATTGTAATAAAATTTTATATTAAATCTAGATCATCTAAAATAAATATGGATAATCAACTTGTGAAAACTATAAAATCTTTTAATATTAAATTTGGATAATCTAGATTAAACATGGATTGTCCAAGATTGGTGAAAACCTAGTTTATAAAAATTTTTATAATTTTTTTATTTAAATAAATACACAATAAAAAAATTTAAAATTTTAAATCTGAATCATTCAAATTAAATATAAACAGTCCAAATATTATTAAAGGATTATAGAACAGTGGACATATTGCTCCTTGGGAAAATTTTTAAGTAAATCCAATGCATTATGTTATTTGTAGTCTGTTCAATAAAAATATGATACTCAAATAGCATTAAATATAAATTAATTTTAATATTGATAATAGTAAATAAAGAACAAGTAAGAAATTAATTGTGCATTCTATTATAAGAATAAAATTAATTAAAATCATGTCATATAAAATTTTATTTAGTAAATAACTTAGAACATTCTTACTGTACAGACGACAAATAATACGATACACTTAATTTATCTAACAATGGGAGAAGCTGACTTCCTACTAACTAGGAGTCCCTTTGGCCATTTCACCTCAACTTAATGCCTAACATGGGGTACAGTTTCAATGCTCAATGGTCCATAGTACATGATATGTCAACAAATTCGCACCATTTAAATTAAAATTCAATGGTGTAGATTTAATATATTTTTATTAACTTTCATTACTCGTGTAATCATAATGGATATAGATTTTAAAATAAAAATATTTTTTAAAATAATCTTTTATCATTTAAAAATTATAAATTAAAAACTTTTATATTTAGATAGTCTAAATCTCAACATGGGGATGAGCTCTAGGGAGTATCAAAACCAGGCCAGCCTCGATCGACATGCGCGGACGTAACGCGTGAGGGGAAAAAAATGCTGTTAGAAAAGTCATGCGTATTTTTTTAAGGAAATTTTGGTGCTTAAGTTGAATTGGTTAATATAGTGATTCAATCGTTTATGGAGTTAACCAATCAAGTTGATCCGATTTTCAATCCTTTCACAGTATAGAAATGAGGTTAAAATTCCCAATATATATTGTATCAAAATATATATATATATATATATATGCACTGGGCTCTTCAAAATCCAAGGCAGGTTGGAAGAACATGGAATGCCACTAATTACGCCAAGGCCATATACTTCTGCCTTCATGCCTAACTCCTAAGGATGGCTTCTAGAATCAGACGTTATTAGCATTCCTACACATAAAATAATCATTTATAAAATTTTAAGCATCATTAATATATAACACTAATTAATAATAATTATAAAACTATTTCATTGTTAATTTACAACTATTTACTTCAACTTTTTATAACTATAATTTTACATATTCAATGTTAAAATAATCATGCATTACAAGTTTAACACTAATTATATATAATTATCACATAAGTAATTTGCAATTATCCATTCAATATTTTTACAATTGTAACTTTACATATCTAATGATTAAATCAATTATACAATACTAAAAATTTTAACATGAAGTATTTACAACTTCCTCATTATTAATTTGCAATTATCACTACACCTATAACTTTATGGATCTAATAGTTAAATTAATCATGCATTTTTAGCAATGTTATGAAAACTAGACTAATCATTGAACTGGTTGAGGTACTGGTTCATGGGTCAATGGTCGAACTGCAGTCTAACCAGTCATAGATAAATTATTATATTTTAAATATTATATGTTTAAAATAGGAAGAACTAATTATATATAGTAAGAAAAATTAATATTTAAATTTCAAACAAGGTAATTTATAATAAAAAAAGATTGTATCCACCAATTTACATCATTTTCATCCAAAAAATATATAATTATTTCATAATTTATAATTTATAAATTTGACATATATGCATATATACATAATTCATACATATTCCTTTCATTTCATAATGCACATGTATAAATTATATTTTAAAAGTATGAATTAAAATTAAAAAAAATAAAAAACTAACATGTCTTGTTCAATCGGTTTCTTGCCGGTTTCATCGATTTTGGCCGGGTCACAGGCAGTTCAACTGGTTCAAGGACGGTTCATGGGATAAGTAACTGGACCAAACCTATAATCAGTTTTAGTTCAATCGATCAACCCGATTGATCCAGTCCGATTTTGATAACAGTGGTTTTTAGTTATTGTAAGATTACTCAAATCAATTTTGTTCTTTGTAACTTCTGCGTACTTGAACTCGGTCTTTCTTTTTATTGACAGAAAAAATTATGTCTGACAGAGCAAATATTCAAACCTTTTTGCAAACTGTCAAATCTCCTTTTCGCTGCCCTGTACCTAGCGGCTTTGATCATGTAGAGCAGTCTGAAAATTGAAGTGAAAACTAAAACTTAAATTAATGAAAGCTTAAACTAAGTAATGAAATCTTATCAGTTGATTCAGATAGGACCTTTAGCATGTAAACAAAGTATAAGAACCAGGACAAGTACTGTCGATCACAATCAATTGTAATGATAAAGGCGTTGATTGTATAAACAAGGCAAAGAGACAGTCGATCACAAACAATTCCATATGCTTCAAGTGGTGAGAAAGAAAAAGGCAGAGAGAGTGTCGAACAACATCAAAGTTATCATGAACGTGAATAGAGTGATCCTGAATAAACATGAAGAAGAACACGACAGAGTGATTATGAATGAATGGAGCATGCGTAAGGTTTGTTCGTCATTGTAACCTAATAAGTAAGGGCAATATTATCTTTATACTTTAATTTCAACTTACGGTCAGGTTTTATGAGATCTGACTGCAGTTTTTAAATCTCACGAGACTTACTTGTAAATAAATACTCCCCTTATTTAAAAATATAAGACATTTTTAATTGAATCTCACCTCCAATAAAGTAGTTATCTACTTTCTAACTAACCCTATCTTTCTATATTTATCCATCTTAAACATCTTATAATAAATATAAAGTCATTATTAATAGAGACAATTTTAAAAAAAAGCAATAATTACATTTTTAAAAACTAAAATGTCTTACATTTTTTAACATCCAACTTTTCAAAAAATGACTTACATTTTTGAACGGATGAAGTATATTTTATGGGATCTATATGCTTAATTTTTTCAAGAATAAATTGAGGCTATAAGTAGAAAAATAGATAAAATTTCAAAATAATGTTTATTTTTTGGGAAAAGATACTTCATTGGCGAACCAAAAGCGCACAAAGGCACAGAAACAAATAAAAAAAGTGATCCAAAATAATTCTATTGAAGTGTTAATAATTTTTGTATTTGATATCCTTTTAACTATTTGGCAATGTTATGATCTTCTTCGAGGACGGACCTTCGTTGAGCCTTATGGGGCCAGCCACCCCACTAAAACCTATGGGATATTTTGGTTATAATACGGGAAACCCCTCCATGAAATTATCATTTGCCCTCCTAAAAACATTGCACTCGCACCACTCGAGTTTTTTTTTTTTTTTTTAAAATTCAGTTTTCATGCACGAAAACTCATCCAACCAAGGAAGCTAATGCTATTTGTATTGCTAATTTTATAGTAGGCAGAGATATCAATTTGATCAACTAACAAAAATATGGTTCATATTATATAAATATTAAATATAAGAATATATTAAATATTATGCAATATTTTTTCTACTTATCAAATAAAATATTAATCTTTATTTGTTAAGAGATATTAAGGTTAGATTCTTTAATTTTAAATTTCTACTCATTCACACTCAAAGTAACAATTTTTTTAATAGTATAATCAATAAACCCAGCTGATAGTAGAAATTATGTCCCCCAAAATGCTTTCTAATAAAATAGAAAAAATATCTTTAATTATTTATATTGAAAATATTTGTTCTAAAAGAATATGATTCTTTTCATCAAAAAAGACAATCAAAGTATGATATTAATAGCACCTTCATCATCCTAATTTATAAGATACTTTTAGGCAAAATTAAACATATCAATAAGGCTCATTAAATACATTTTATGAATTTATTTGTTCAAAAAAATATAAAATTCTAAAAATACTTTATTTAATACTCCATTTATAAAATCATATCAAAGAAGGAATATAATTGGATGTGTAATATTAGCAAGTATCATTAATGAAGCTTTTTTTATTATCAAAATATCTTATATTTTAAAATGTCAAATCTGCTCAAAAAAGTTAGTGTTTTATATTGTAGGATGTCAAATCTTTTCTAAAAATATCTTATGATTTGGGATGGAGGTAATACTATTTATTTTATCATTTATAATATAAATTTTGCTTACACTAAGATGATTGTATCTCATCTTCTTATTTATTTAATTTCATGATTTTATTTTTATTAATTTAATAAATAATTAAAAATATTTCAAAAAATTAATGTTTATCTTATATAAATTTTGCCCGGATAACAAAATTTTCTGGGTCTTTCATTGGTATTCTCTTTATTGACAACCTTTGAAGTGTTATATTTTTCCTCCCAATGTCACGGGCATGACCATTTCTTGCGTAACTATTTATAATCATAGCTAATAATAATTAAAAACAAGTTAACGCTAGCGCTTATATTGATTAACCGTTATTCACATTTGATTCCAGGTCACTGTCCTTAATCCACGGAGCTAATAAAGGTTCGAAAAATGAATTTCCAATATTAATTAATTTTTTAGGGTCCATGACTTCCTATTAATTAACTTTCGATCATATAATTTTATGAACCTCCTTCAGAATAAAACTAACTTTCTCTTTATTTTTGGCGTGTATTATTTTTATGGCAATATATATATATAGAGGCAGAGGCATCTTTGCTGGGCCAAAAAAAAAAAAAGGACGGTTTTTTATTGACACGCTACTTTCTTGAAATTCAGCACATGATCGTGTCTCATATTATATGGTTATTTTAAATATCATGGAAATCATGATAATTAAAGATGGTCATAAAAGTTAAATTATATGAAATATATTTTAAATAAGTTAACACTGTTAAAAGTGTTCTGATAATTTTTTTAAACAGTATGAATTGTTTGAAGCTCCTTCAATATTAACCATGCAATGTAATGTTGATTACTCCTCATATGATCAGTTGAAGGTGATGTGGAACTTTGAAATTGGAAGTTATTTTTTAAATTGAGCACTTTGGAAACGGACGCCTCTTGCCTGCAAGAGAGGAAGTGCAATTGGAGGAATTATTAGGCAACAAAATGAAAGATGGATCTTGAGTTTTTGTTTGAAGATTGAATCATTACTACCAACCATTGCAGAGGTTAAAGCCATCACCATTAGATTACATTACAGTTGGAAACTCCGAATTAAAAAAGTAAATGTAATCTCATATTGTGCCAAGGCTATAAGTATGATTTTGAGGGACGCTCCATAAAACTGCCTATATTGGAATATCATACAGGAAGCTAGAATGATTTTAAATAGAGATTGGTTTGTATGCATTGATTTTATGCCTACGAGCTTTGTCAAACATGCTGATGCCCTAACTGATTAAATTTGCGCAGATGCTTACCTCAAAAATTTTTTTTCTTTAACTATCCTCTTTAGTTCATTCGAGAAGAGGAGGAAGGGGAGAGAACTAATTTGTTGGATGTATCTTGATCCTTTAAGCTAGTGCTATGAATGAATCACCTTTTCACTCCAAAAAAAAATAAACATTGAGCATAAGTTTCTTCTAATTAAAGCCTTTTTTTTGGGAGACATGGTCGGGTCATAATGCAAACACTTTTTTCAAAGGGAATTGATTGATTCATCATGTTATAAGAAATCAGTCCTTTTATTCTTGCTGGAACTAACTCTCATGAATGAAATTGTGAGCTTACATTAAACTGGTGTGACTTCTCACACACATATTGCATGGGATTTGAAAAATTAGTCATACTATTGAAATACGAGGCAAGAATTAAGGAGAAATTAATCATTTATTTCATGAACATTGAGCTACATAAATTAAACGCTTGGCTCAATTTTTGGATTTTGAACACTTCATAAACAATAAACAACACATTTCACGACAGCATACATTTAGAGAGAGCTATAACCAGTGACCGCTGCTGAAAATAATAAACATGACCAAATCTAACTAATGAATTTAAACTTCATTAGTTTTATTGTTCCACATTTTAACGTAGCCATCATCAATATCAAGTCGATCGGTCCTGACTTAGTTGACTTTCCTGCAGTTGGTCCTAATCTGACCGTTGGATCCTACGAGAGGGTTAAGGTTTCCCATTTTGATCATAGCATAGGCGAAGTCATCTCTGAAACTAGCAAGGTTGTCGCTATAAGCAGTGACTTGAGAATCTGTGGATCCTCCATTGAAGAGCTGTTGGTCAGAGTGCAGCAAGCCCTTGTTGCCCAATAAGTTCTTGAAGTAAGCGTTGTCGAACGAGTCGGGTGTGGTCGGGTCAAAATTCGTCAAGTTGGAGTCACCACCTACGCTCGGACAGATTCCTTCTAAAGTCTTTGCGTACGAGGAATCAATGTTGGTCTCGTTGTAAATCCTCGTTCTAAAGTTGGCACACTGTGATTTCCCTATTGTGTGAGCTCCTGAACAATGCATCAAAATGTTTACAATCAATTAATATGTCAGGTACATACGATGGTAATGATTAGAGTATGCAATCTCTGTGAGATTATATTTAATTTGAAATGAGTTATATAAATGAATTACTACCAGAGAGTGCCACCATTTCTTTAGCAGTGAAACCTTTGTTAGCGAAAACAGTGATAAGAGCACTGAGATCCAAAGAGGGAGCCGGCAAGTCGGAGTTAGCAGAACTTAAACTTGCTGTAGTTGAATCTCTTCTTCCCAGTTGTACAGTCCAACTAGGCCCACCTAACTGAGAAATTTCTTCAATGTGTCAATGCATGTCCGGTCTTAGATAAATAGTACATGTGTATATCAATAGATCATTAATCTTAAGTTGATTAATTAATTATTACATATGAATTATCAGATATAAGTTTCAGATTAGTATGGTGTATCGCTACTTACAGCAACAACAGAGTCTCTGGCGGCAACAGCGACGATGTCGGCGCAGGAGACAACGCCGGGGCACGAAACCTCAAGCTGGTATTTAATGTTGTCGATCACGTCGTAACCTCGGACACTGTTAACATTTTGAAAGGCTGTCTTTTCACCTGTGAAAGTTGATGTATCATCTAAAAGGATTGATGCATCACAACCCTGCAAAGCAATATGCAAATGAAATGGTGTTAAGATTGCCTAAATAAGAGCGAACTTGAGCTAATGCAAGAAGTCTTAGATAAAACTTGTATGCATCTATTGGCCCGGTCTCCTTAATATGATAATCCAACATAAATGAAACATCACACACACACACACACGGAAATAAATACAAGAAACAAATCATAGTTCGTCGGTTTAAAATGTGCATGCTTCCTATACTTGCCATATAATCCAAATTAACTTCTTGACCAGCGTGACATTCATAAGGAACTTGGGTTTTAATTTATATATAGTTACGTGAACCCAGAAGAATGCAGCTAATGATGCTTGACTTGCTCAGTTGCTTGTACAACTAATAAAGTGATATAGAAAGAAGGGGGGGGGGAGTGAGACTTGCTTGAACGAAGCAATCATGGAAATGAAGACGAAGAAGGGACGCTCCCATGCGAGCCTCTTGAAGGACAGCAGAGGCCACTGCAGCTTTAATGGTGGTAAGGGCTAAGGGACATGACGTGGCATAAAAATCTGAAGACAACTGAGCTGAAACAATGCCAAGGACACAAGACAAGAAGAAGAAGAGGCTGAGTTTGAGATTAAGACCAGACATGGCTATTATTGGACCAATTCTATACAACTTCAAACAAAGATAGCAAGCTCTAGCTTTTTAGTAATAAGCGATGCTTGTTATGGTGGTTTTCGAATGCGATTGTGATTGTACTTATATAGAGGAAGCTTGGGCGCGTCACGTTCAAAAAGTGCCCCACTTGATTAAGGGGGCCATATTTAAATATTCGATAATGCTCCCAAGCAGGCTGCTGGCCGGTGGAAGTGGAATGTACTTTGAGTAAGGAATGCAAGATAATTTAATTTAAAAATTAATATTTTTTTAAAATAACAATTTAATACTACAAGAATAATTATGTTAGAGTTAAAATTGTAACAATATAAATAGATTGATTGTCATTTTCCTTTTTAGAAAATTGTATTAAACAAATTGAAATGATCTTTTATGTAAATATGCTTTTGTTGTCTCTCATGTTGATCATTTAAATATTACTTATCTATTAAGTTTTTAAACCCAAGTGTTTTACCTATCTATTAGTCAGGCTATGTAAAATATCAAGAACATGAGGTGTAAAGTTGAAAATTCTACATAACCTAGGTGTAATTTTATCCAAATGCACCCGTCCAATACACCCCTCCACTATAACATGGCTCCACGACTGACCACACCTCTCAATGTGTTATCTACTTGAAAAAAAAAAAGTTAAACATTACACAGGGTTTGGATTAATAGACTTAAATTTAAACTTTATATTTTATATTTTATATTTAAAATTTATTATTTAAAAATTTTTGTTTGGTTATTATACAAAATTTCAAATTCAAAGGCAATGAAAAGAATTGTTAGGAAACGATGACGAGAAGATAGCAAGTCTATTCTAGTGACTGACATTTTAGATAATTAGAGTGTATCATGGATTTGAAATTACTAAGAAAGTTACTCCCTTCATTCAAAAATATAATGTATTTTTAATCGAATCTCATCCCCTAATAAAATAGTTACCTACTTTTAAACTAGTATTATCTTTTTATATTTACTCCTCTTATACATCTTACAATAAATATAAAGTAATTAATCAATAGGGGCATTTTTTTTAAAAAAAGGCAATAATTACACCTCAAAAGATTAAAAATATTTTATATTTTTAAACAGATAGAGTGTATAATAAAAATATAAACTTTTATTGATCTAAATGGTGGATTTTATCTAAATTTAAATCCATATCAAAATGCATTGAATCCAAACGCATCTAATAATATGATGCTATATAGTCTCTGTATTTGGGCTATGTATTTGTGGTGACTTCTTAAAAATCTGACCTCTTCTATTTATAATACCGGGATAAATTGGCCCACTAGTTCAAAAAAAAATTTGTGTCCAGAAAATATGGATTAATTTTTTAAAAATTTAGGAGTATAGCCAGTTCACATTGATATACAAAAAGTTAATCATTAATATACAATAGATTTATTATTAAAAATTTAAAATTTATAAAAAGTTTATCATTGATATACATCAATATATCAGTGACAAATAAAATAAACCGGTCATAATACAAAAGATAATAAATATTAGGTCGTTTACTTGGTTTGATCCTATAACATGGGTTATTTTTGTGAAAGCCTCTTTATACTGCAACGTCCTTTTCAATTTGTTGATTGGATACCACGAAATAAAAATTTTAAATTCTTTCCTTGTGCATTTGTATAGTTTTTCCTATATAATTGTATCATAAAGGAATCAACTTTTTTGTTTCTCAAACGCAGTTTACCGGATTAATTAAGCCGTGTCATTTATTTACATTTTATCCTCAACAATAACAGAAATAATATATGCAATTAAGTCCTTCAGATTTTTTTTTTATCACTATATGACTGATCCAGATTCAAGCATTGTCAGATCTAATAATTAGGAGAGCTCTTCTAAAGGCATACTGACCAAACTATTTATAAAAGATAATAATACTTAAATTTCAACTATCATTTATTTCTTTTAAATAAGTTCCAGGGTAGCTCTTTCTGTTTCAAGAGAAACAATTTTAAATTTCATTTTTAGTTGTGGATATTGTGGAAAAAAATATGTCCGTCCCTGCCTGGCGGCTGCCACTACAGAATCTCTCTTCAGTTTTTTTTTTTTTTTAATGTTTTGGGCAAATAAAGATCTCTCCTCAGTTAATTATAACGTATCGTTTAAGTAAATTCGCATATGCCAAATTAAATATACTAATAGTATATACTAAGTGAGGTTATTTAAAAATTAATTTAATTAATTATCAAAATGCGTTGACTTGCTCAAATCCTTAATTTCCATCCTAATTATAAACATTATTTTCACCCGTGCACCCACACGACTAATCATGCATGAGCATCAAACTATATATTGTGTTTCATTTTCAAAATTACATTAATATCTACCCCTTGCCAATTTATAAGACATTTAATATGATAAGGAGGAAATGATAATACTAGATAAGTATATTTAATAAAATCTTATTTTTATCAAAGTATATTATATTTTAAGATATTGTCAAAAAGTGTTTTATAAATTAGGATGAATAGAGTGTTTCATAATCAACATTAGTTCTCATGTATTCCAAAAAAAAAAAAAAGGAGGACATTTCTCATGCAGTTGCCTCAAATTCAAGCACCTCCCTTAGAAAATTATACATAACAAATAATCAAATTTCAATAGACAAACCGCATTTTATTCTATAATTCCCACAAGGATACGTTAAGTTGCTTATTAAGGGCCTATTTTACTATATAATTGCGTTGTTTGGTGTGAAGGAAATATGACTCCATTTCCATTATTTTGGATGAAAGAAGCTATGACGTGCTCATGGGAAAACACTCGATACTTTTTCCATAAAATCAAGGGTTAAAGTACGCAAATATCCATAAATTAGTTTACGAGAAATTATATTATAAGCACCATTAATTACATTATGGTGCAATTTTGCTCACCAACTCTAGAAAATGGTGCAAAAATCATCAATATGTAATGGAAGCTAGACATTCAATAAGTAAGAATATGAATCTTCCATACTATGCAATGTGTAAATGGGTTATAACGAGGCAAAATTGCTTATAAAATATTATATTATGATGTAATTTTGCCAATTAACATTAAAAAACAGTACTAAATTCTCAAGCTGTAAAGAGGTATACATTGGCAAACACTGACGGTAAATGTTAGAAAGAATGATATTTTATTTGACTAGAAGTACAAAACGCAGAAATAGTGCATGTGATCAAACTTTGTATTTATAGCTTAATTGGGTATTTCAATATCCATAGCAGGTTGTAAGAACATGGAAATGCCACTATGTACGCCATGTCCATATTCTTCTGGCTTCATACCTAAGCATGGTTCCTCGGATCACGCGCTAATTGTTAAATGTAGCAACTGACCCATAAAGCAATTTTTTGTTAATTAAGGTGATGAAGATGATCTCTTTTCACTCGTGGTTTTACTCGATCGAATTTCAACTCCTAACATTGTAAAGATCCTTTTTTTTTTTAATAAAAATTGTAAAGATCCATGTTGAGCTCTTCTCATCAGTATAGTTTATTTCTATGCTCCCTCTCGGTTTTAAGTTATAGACAAATTTTTTGAGGATGAGGGGTGTGTGTATGTTGAGATAGAGATTTAATCTGTTAATATATATTATCTATTAAGATTTTTTCTATTGAGATTTTGGAAATATTTTGTATTTATTAGATATGATTAAAATATTCATTAATTATTATTAAGTTCATTTATATATTGTAACACTTTCATATCCATAGAGCACAACACTTTTTCCTGTCTCCATTTCTTTCTCTTATGACTTCTTTCATGATATCAAAGCCTAGTTAATGAAGTTTATGCTTTGTCCAAGCTGGAACTTTGTTTTATATAGCAAAGCTCTAGTCCCTTCCCTTTTTATATTTTATTTCATCAAGAATCACTCCCAAGTTTGCCGCATAGTGATTCATTCTTTTAAGAATCACACCTAAGTTTGTTGCCTAGTGATTCATCCCTTCGAGAATCACCACCAAATTTCACACCTAGTGATTCCTTCTTTGAGAATCACTCCAAGACTTTTTTAGTGATGATTTATGATTCATACACAAGAGAATCATCCTTTTGTCATACGATCTTAAGATCAAGCAATAGACATAGCCCCCTCATCCTCCAAAAATTTGTCTATATAATGATTATTGAATAAAAATTATTATTGCAAATAATTTTGTCTATATACTGTCAATTTTTTTTTCAAATATAATGGGACATAATTAAAATCATGTTTAATTTACCAGTGTTGATTCAATAATTAGAGAGGAATAATATATGTGACAACATGTTACTTAAGCAAGCATTGATTCTTTCTTACTTTAACTATCTTAATTGGTATTGAGTTGCTGATCACATTTTCTTTCTAAAGTTTAACACTAGATTGATATTATGGATAAAAGATGGATGTCTGCTAAGCATACATCTCAAGAATACTGGGATGGGGTTCAATAATTCATTAAGTTTGTACAAGAGCATGCCAAGGATTCAAAAAGAATTATTTGTTCTTGTATGAAGTGTAATTTTGTGGGTAGCTTCTTCATAGAAACTTGAAGACCACTTGGCAAAATTTAGAGTTGATTAGAGTTATAAGTATTAGACACTATATTAGGAGAGGCATAGTGAAAGTTATCATTCCTCTAATTTTGTCACAAATGCATATGTGGCCGACCATCTTGAAGACTTGGAAGATGACTTGAAAGAGGTACTCAAGGATTTTTCTTAGAGAGGTTAAAAAGTGATGCAGAGACTTGTTTTTATGAAGGTTGTGAATATACAATATTGTCTACAATATTAAGATTCTACAACTTAGAAAGCAAGACATGGGTCTCTTTATCATAAAAGAAATACTATCAAAGGTTGACAAGTTTCCAAGCTGAGAACATGAGGCAAAACAAGTGTTACATTCTATTAACCTAAATTACAAGAAGATATATGCTTGCGCCAACGAATGCATTTTGTCTAGGGGACAGTATGAATTGTTGTTGCCCTAGCATGGCACTATTGTAATAATCTTAAATTTTAAATTAAATTTTTTTCTCAATTAAT